TGACCGTCCCCCATAAGGATACCAATCCGTGTGTTTTGCGACCGGGTGAGTTTTCGGATTGGTGATGGAATATAGTTTGGATATTGAAAGACCTTAAATAAAACTGTATTTTGTCTCAAATCTCTTCACAGGAGTAATGGGACTCACAATTGTTATCCTTTTCAAATTTTGGAGTTCTTTCTTCGATCTCCGTCGACGGGAGACCACGCCCATATTGATATGAGTGTTATGGATGGAATCGAAAACCGGCACTAAATTGGAATTGGGAATAGTTTCTTTGTGGAAACCCGACCGAAACGCTAGCGAAACTCCCAACACTACTGCCATGTTTTAATTTCAACCTTGTTTTCGAGCTTCTTTTCGACCCATATGTGAGGGTACTGTTTATCATCTTTGTAATTTCTCAGGTATGCTAGTTGTTGGTATAGCTCTGAGGAATTTGCCAGCAATCAGTGAGCACTTGTTTGTCGTCAAAGAATGGAGTGTCGTTCTGCGAAGGATTGCTTTCGTTGTGATTTTACTCCGTGGCGGACTATCTCTTGATTTGGATGCAATCAGAAGATTGAAAGTTAGTTGCTTACTCACTGTACAGATCTGGTTTTTTACTTTCAATGCGTTTTTTTTTTCGTCAAGGGTGCTTGCGTCCGCTTGGCTTTGGTTCCTTGCTCGGTAGAAACGGTAGTTGTGGCCGTAGCTGCTAAATTAGTTTTTGGTATGGATATCGTATTCGGTGTGTTACTCGGGTAAGTAATAGAAATTGTTCTCACCTTTACCATTCTGCTTCTACCTCATGCACAAACTCTTCATTTCCACCCTTTAAGGGCCTCGAGCCGCTACACTTGCGGCTTTGCCGCCACTGTCTTGAGTCCTGTTGTTTTGTCTATGACATTTTGGCATGAAAATCTTTCGTCAATCCCGCCATTCTTCAGAGCTGTGCTAGCTGCTGTTTCGCCCGCCGTCGTGATCCCTGCTCTACTGGACGCCTCTAAAGCAGGTTAATTGGTCATGGTCTAGTTATTGTAAGGTGTAAGTTGCACCAAGATTTTGCAGGTTATGGAGTGCAGGCCGGTGTACCATCTTTGGTTATTGCTGCTGCCAGTCTTGACGATGTGTACGCAATCTCCATTTTCAGTTTGGCGCTGTCTTTGTTGTTCTCTTCAGGTAGCCATTAATATGAATCGGCTGAAAACTTGCGAATATTCGTTCCTGTCTTGGGTGCTATGGGTGCTTTCAGAGTTCAACGACGTGGCGCTCGTGTTGCTTGCCACGTGTTGACAACGCAGGACAGATTGCATTCGAGGCCACGTGAGCTGTACAGTATCGAACGCAATCTAATTTGCGTTGTCAACGAGTGGCCGGCAACGCCGTCGGTCGATTGGTAGGTCGGCCCGTCGTTCAACTCTGAAAGCAGGCTATTGCTTTGTATATTGATTGCTATAGCAGTGTAGGACAACTCGTAGAGAAACACTCGGTTCACGAAGCCTAACTTCTTGTACACACCTTTGTCTGCAAACAGCTAGTTCTATTACTTTGATCCTAAAGATCTTCTTCACTTCATTCTATGCATCCCTTCATTGTTCCATTATTTGAGGTACCAATATGGAGATGACAATTCTCGCTGCTCCAGTTGAAGTCTTCTCTGGGATATTTTTCGGTTCTGCTATGGGTACAAGTTTTACTTATTTCACTTCTTTCACCTAATTCCACTGAATTGCAGATTCTCATAGTCTCTATTTTCATGCTTTCTCCTTCACGTCCTACCACGGAATGATGTGAAAAATTTACATCTCATTCGCCTGTCGCTTTTATTCACATTCTCCACAGCTATCTTATTTACCACGATTAGGTTCCGTGTGGACGGTGCAGGCGCTATTGCAGTTTTAGTAGCTGCGTTCGTTGCGGGCCATTCATGGAAAAAAGAGGTGCTAATGGTCTAAGGATGATTTTCGCATGAAGATTTTGATAGTTTTGTATTCACAGGGTCCTCTCCCTGAAGAAGATCACCTTGCTAATCTATGGCATCTTGCTTTTCAATCGTTGCTGTTCGGTCTTATTGGATTCGAACTTAGTTTTGACATGGTAAGAAGAAATATAGTCTATCTATTGCTTTGTTTGTGTGTTTTGAGGCTTTAATAAAATTAAATAATCTCGTTCTTATTATTCACATAATCAAGTGATTCAGGTACAATCCGGAACCATATTTCGTGGCTGTTTACTGCTTGGAATCGGATTGTTGTTCCGGTTCATCGCTTCATTCTTGGCCGTTTTTGTTACCACTCTGACTCTACGCGAACGTTTGTTTGTGGCAGTGGCTTGGATGCCTAAAGCGACTGTTCAGGTGCAGCTTAGCGATGGTTTTGTTCATTTCGTATCTTGTTCCTTATATTTGTCGTTATTCCTTCGGAATGATAGATGTCCACATTCGAATTTCGAACAATACGGTAATAAGAGGATGATTTGTTAGTCAAATATCGCTAAACCTCCACTCATCGAAAACCGGTTTCCTTACATCACGCTAAGCTCATCTCTACTGTGTTGTGCTCACGAGAGTTTGCCAGGCTTTTTGACTTTTGTAACTAGGTCGTTTATTAGTAGTCGGAGTTTAGGGTTCACTGCTAGTTGCTTTTTGTCAGCAGAAGCGAGAGCGATACAACAGATGTCCCTACGTTGTCTCGCTGTCTCGCTTTTAAGCGTGAATCCAAAAACACCCTTCTGGTTGTTATTCGACAGTAGGCTTGTTTAGTAACATTATTTGCGTATTGGTAGCCATAGACGCTCTATGAACGTATTTTCTGGTCGAACTGGTTGGATATTCTTATTACTCTATGCATGCATGCTTATTACTCTTAATGGATCAAACAAGTGGCTGTTGACCCTCGGCAATTTGCAGAATTCCTGTCTTTAGCGTTAATTCCGAGCCGTCTAAAGGTGCGCTGCTCTTCTTAGAAGTTGTCTTTCTTCACTATCTTCTGCCGATGTCTTAGGCCCAATTGATTCCTTCACGGTCACGTCTCTCGTTGAATTCCTCCTTTCTTTTTGTGAGCTCCGTCAATCTCTTGCTGCAAGCTTCAGCTTCATCATGACCACGTTCCATTGCATACACTATTCTCGCACTTCAGTTGAACGCCACTTTTTGCGCGACGGAGCTTACGCCCTCGATCCTGGACTAACTCTGTTGTCCCTAGCAATAGGCTCATAAGTCTAGCTATCGTTTCAGCGTAGTGACGCTGCTTTATGTAACGGCTGGCAACGCTTTAGTGCTCGCTGCCTCACGTCATCGCTGCCCTCATGACTGTCCGATACACCTTCACTCATGGTGTTCTGGAGCATAGTAGCAAAAGTTGTTTGCAAAAGATACTCCTTCCGTCTCACTCATACCGTGTTGGTCCTAGTTCTTTGGGTCTGTTCCATCTATCATCACCGTCCTCTTCAACACAATCATTGGTGGAGATGTTATTAGCTCTGAAATGCTTTTTCAATTTTGTCCTTGCAGGCGGCATTGGCTCCAGTGGTTTTGGACATGGCTAGATCAAAAGATGGAGTTGATAGTACTTATGTCGATTACGGGATCGTGATCTTCACTATCGCGGTACTGAGCATTCTCATAACGGCTCCAGTGGGTGCTTTCTTGATTCGTCTAGCAACACCACTGCTTCTGACAAAAGATGAAAATAGCGTCAAGTTCACGGCTGATGGCGAGAATGACTTGGAGAATGACATGAACGAATCTGCTGGGAATACTCTGTGAGACGTAGTAGCACTTGTAAAAAAAGATCCTTTTAGCTTTTTAGATAGTTGGTTCAGAATAGAAATTGTTTTTAGCTACTTTAATCAGTTCTAATTATGATTGTTTCTTTTAATTTTCCTTGGCTCATTGCGAGCAAGTTGACTCTACACGTGCAATTTCTCTAGTCATGTTTGATCTCGATATTTAATGATGACTTGAGTATTACAGGCTTTACTTGTGTGCGATTTTTGTTTTTCTTCTAGTTTTCATACTGTCGAAGTTTTACAAATGTGCTTATTGAGAGTAATAATAGATACAGTGAATTACCTCCGCACTTACGGTATAGTGAAATATGTTCATTTGCTCAGATAATAATATCTTGTGCTCATTCTTATGCCATATTTTCGTTTATGGTATCCACCACGATATATTCAAATCATGGATTAGATTCCAATTTTCATTCCTTTTTTTTAGTTCTCAAGTAATGCATAAACTAATATGTTCCGTGCAAACTTACGACTGGGGTAAGCCAGGATGTCGAAGTACCGTGGCAGCACTGGTTAAAGAAGGGCATCATGCAAATTACGTGGATGATAACAAACCGTATGCTGAGGTACGTTGATTGTATCAGGTATTTGGATATTATCACCGTTATAATTTCTCTCCAATGCATATGTTCTTCTTTTGAATTTTTTGTTGTGACTCAGTTGACCGTAAGTATGTAAAACGACCGTATTCGAAGGTGTTCCTCATATGAGCAGTGAATTATTCTTGCTTGCGAAAGGATTCGTAAATATCCTCTCACTCCGTCTGAATACTTTGCAGTTTTCTTCTCAGCTTGATCTTGAATCAAGATTGAGGGGTTTTCGCCAGCGTTATTAGTTCAGGAGGATATTGTAACGTGACACGTTTAACAATTTGCGAGAGTTAACTCACAGTGCCGTGGGAGTGATCCAACTAAATGAAATCACAAAAGCACACATTCTATTCAATCTCAAACATAGCCTGCCATTGATTTCTTACGGAAGAACTTGCTCAAAGGAGATGGGTCTGAACATTAAAGAGTGGATTCTATCTGCTAAGGAGTTAGTTTGGCAGTTCTCCTTTCTCGTGAGCAGGCGTTAACAGAGCAGACCCTGTGGATTTTGTGCACCTTCCGCAAAAAATATTAGGTCGAGTCATAAATCCTCGGACAAAATGATCGCGTTGACTTCTAGAGATCATAACTCGGGAAAGAGGAGACGAAAATGGACGCGCGTGGCATTATTAGATCGAGTATGAAAAGCACTTCAAAATACATGCTAACGAACACACCTAACTGATTCCTTTCCTGCAACCATGCCTTATGATTTGAAGCCGGCGCAACTCCACCTCCGCAACACCATCCTAATTCTTTTTTTATCTGGCCAAGAACCCGCGGAGATCGATAGACGTATTGAGGAATTTTACAAGAAGGATGCTCCTGTTAGATGCATAGTTCACTAGTGGCACACAAAGTTCACGTCGAACAACCATTTCATCGAAAATGAAGACCGTCCGGGACGCTCAGTGGAGCTGGATTTGGAGGTGCTGCGGTGCCAGGTGGAAGCCGATCCGTACCAAACTACTCGTAAACTAGCAGTCACCCTTGGGGAGTCAGTTCACAATTATTCGTGGATTGAAGTCAATCGGCAAGGTGCGAAAGCTCGGTCGATAGGTGATCTCAGCAAATATGTGGGCCTCAGATCAAACCAATCTCCATCAAATATAAAGCTCTGCTATACGTCTTTCTGGCTGTTTGGCTAGCTGGCTATGAGTCACGAAATTCGTTGTTACCTGAAGAAGCATATGGGGGAGCCAGGTCAGGTATGCTCAACCTAACTCACCCATTTGGAATCAAACAGTGAGGTTCCGGGATAAAATAGGTGAAGATTATAAGTGTTAGAGAATGAAATGAAAGATGGTTTCGCGATGGGTGCAGCTGAACGTGCCTAGACTAAGCAAAGCCTTCTTGCGATGAGTGGAGCGTACTCCCATGTGAGAGTTGTTTTCTACAGGAACATAGCTCCGCTCACGAGGTTTTAAAATCCAGAAGAAAGGAGATATTGAATTTCGATGAAAGGAAGTGAAATCTTTATGCTGGGCGAAGCCGTGCGGCGGGGTAGGCCAAGCTTAAGCGAAAAATCGCAGCTTTGTTTGACACATTCTTTACAAACTTTTCCAACAACAGGTGTGCGATTTCCATGCCGCTGCGATTAAAAAGTCCTGGCTAATCCATGACAATTCCGTATCGTTCCACCACAACCATAGTTTTCGTGGTTTGCGAGCAAATGTGATGAATTTTCTATTGAGGGATTATTTATGGCTGGATTCTGAGCAACTTTTTGCTATCGCGAAGTACTCTATTTATTTATTTATTTATTTATTTATTCTCTCATGCTGACTTCAATGAAAAGCTGCTGCTGAAGTTAATCGTAAGAACCGAACTCGCAAGTGCAATCCATTTGTCGACTTCTTCAACGATATCGGACTAAACAAGTGATTAGAAGAAAAAAAGAGAAATTGACAATTTTCTTTTGTTAAAAAGATAATTTTCGATTGCTCCTAGTAAAACATGATCAACTGATATTTGGTCAAGCGAGGGGTTTTTTCGCTTCATTTATATACCGTCGTTCTGCCATTCATTCAACGCAGCTACCTCAAAAAGTTGTTGAGAAATTCTCCATAAAATCCGATAACAATTCAGTTCTGGATGGGTGTACATAAGAATGGGCCAGCAAAAATCGAGCAAACATCAGAGGATCTTTTGAACTGCATCAAGAATCATCCAGAAATGGTCGGAAAACACGAGCAAGGTTTGCAAGATTATGTTGCTTTCTTTGAGATTCATCACTAATTATAATACTTCAATCTCAGGAACCCTGCAATTCTTGTTCAAGGTTTTATCTGTAGAGAAAGCCCTGTCTATACAAAGTCATCCTACTAAGGTCTGTTGTTTTACTTTCACTCTGACTTGTTCTCATTGTTGAATGATTGTTCCACCATGGGAACAACTTATGATATGCATTTTTCTTCTCAGCCGTGCTAAGCTTGTTCTATCATAAAATGCGGCATATCAACTCACCTTCTGCCTGATTCTCAGTAGAGTGTTAACAAACGCGAATCGCCTCTCACAGGCACAGATCAATTTTTTTTTTCGTTTTTTCGTTGACATGCCAGTAGCATCGAGTTGCTCTGCGCTATTTTTGTCGCTTCTTGAACTTTTGTCTCTAAATTATTGAACTGTTGTTTTCTTCCAGGAAGAAGCAGTTAAATTACATGCAAAAGACCCTGCTCATTATCCGGATCCAAATCATAAGCCTGAAATGGCTATCGCGCTTACGGATTTCGAGCTTCTGTGTGGCTTTCGTCCACCGAACGAAATTTATGAAAATCTGAAAGGTTTGTAGATTCCCGTTGATGGTTTTATATTGCGTTACGTGTCAGAGAGGAAGAAGTAATTGAGATTATTCAATATTTATATCTGTAAATTGAGTGGAGCTTGCTGTAGCTCGCTCCAGTGTTCTTTTCTGATTGTCTTTCGTGAACAATTTTAGTGGTTCTTTCTCAATGGGCTCGCCTCATCGAGCTCATGATAAGGAAAACTATGTTTAAGTCAAGATATCTTTTTGTTTTGAATTGATGGATAAGATGTTTTTCTGTTTGAAATTGACGGAAAAGGTATCTTGCTGTCTTGAATCAATGGAGAAGATATCTTTTTGTTTTGAACTGATGGAGGTTAAGATCATAAGTCAAGGTTAAATGTTCCTAAAGTTGTGTTATTATCCTTTCCCCATTATCATCCTGCTCAACACACTTTCCTTCTTTTGGCCTTTAGTACTTCTACTTTTGTAGGCTGTCCAGAGGTTTTGGCACTCATTGACAACTGCGATGATTTGAAGAAACTCTTAGACAGTAACGAAGCTGTAGCCAAGCAGACACTGAAAAAAATATTCACCAAGGTGTGGGCTTCTTCACCAGAAGCGATTGCCAAAGCTGTGCAGACTTTCGTGGCTCGAATCAAAAAAGGTCGGTTTGATAAATTTTCGAGGATACTGCAGGTTTTTGAAAGAAGTTTACTCCTCATGTGTTTCTGTTTCAGTGAGATTATTTAATGAGGTTTTGTTTCAGACCCAAAAAACAAGTTAGATGAGCTGATTATTAGACTCGACAGTGCGTATCCTGGAGGTTGGTGTCCACCTTCCACATCACAGTTCGATTTTGAATTTATTTATTGGACTTAAGGGTTTTTTCAAAAAGAGCCCGTTGATGAAATAGGTAAAAGGTACAGATGTAAACGCTTCTGAGCTACTGAAAGTGTGTGCAAGTGGGTGGGGAGTAAGAGGAAATTATCTAGCAAATCAGAATCCGCCCGTGGTGGGCAGGGAGTGCATGAAGTGGACGTTGCATTGTAAAAAAAATTGCATCGCGCCTCTTTGCAACTAAAAGATCTTTAAGGCGGGCAGTAAGTGGGCAATATTTTTGATAAGTCGGTTTACACAGGCTATGGGCGAGAAGCGCTTACTGTGGGCCGAACGTGCACTCAGGGGTGCTTTCCGAGTTCAAAGACCGACCAAGCGATCGAGCGACCGACGGCGGCGCTGGCCACGTGCCGACAACACTGGACAAATTGCGTTCAGGGCCGCGTGATTCGTGAGGGCTCAGTTTATCAGTCTAGCGTTGTCAGCACGCTGCCGTCGGTCGCTCGGTCGGTCGTCGGTTACGTGTTTGACCTCTGGAAACATTCAAGTGAGACATGCCCACTAGGAAAGTTCACACAACGTCGACGCATGTATTCAAAAATGTTCTGGAAAAAAGATAAGAAGAATGAAAGGTATCAGAGAAGCTAATCGCCGGCGTTCTCGGGGAAGCCTTCGAAAAAGTTGACTTCCGATACATGGGCTTATGGTAGCGTGGACCAGGCCGTAAGAGCCCGAATAAACGCGGCA